ACACACACACACACACACACACACACACACACACACACACACACACATCTGTGCATCCCCAGATGTGCAAAGAGTTTATAAGAATGTATTTGACCACAACACAAAGAGTGTTTGGTGGTGTAGCTTCAAATCGTTTACACTGACATTTTGCAACACATAAATATAAATGTGTACATTACTACAAAGTACTTCTATAGGGGGTGGCATGAATGACTTTTCTTTTGTTAATGTGAATTATTTTCTTTTGTATTTAGTGTACTTTTGGACGTACAATTTAAGGACTTTAAGAATAAAGTATTGGAGCTTTATTTTACATTTGTAAAGTGCGATTCATGGTGTTGTGCTGCGATTGGTAGGCGTCATTATCTTTTAAATTACAAATGTAAACACAAGAATGTAAGAAACTGTATGCTCGGTATTAAAGCCTGAAATGGTAAATTAATGCTATTCTGAGGTGTGTACTTCATGCCCCACATGGGCAACCTCAGACAAAAAAGATTGGACATGACAACACTGTAACAAAACAACACACAGATGCCACAAAGCCAGTATCACCCAACAGCATTGTTGCTGTGACTCTCGTGAAGTTATCCTGAGATAAAAGAGACTGTCCCTGGATCAGAGAAGTCTTCATCAGTCATTTCAGCACATTAGGTCATAAACTACTGTGGCTCCCGGTGAACCGTTAGCTAGTGTTGCTACCTTTAGCTGCTCGGGTTCGGACAAGATCTTCTATAAAGATAAAAGAGACATTCTGCATTTTAAAATAAACCTCTTTATGCACGATAAAAGCTTTTATTTCCATAAAAGAAGTGCACCCCCCCACGCTCGGAGACTCCAGTGGGAGCAACTGGATGATTAAATATCAAATAAACTCACACACGTGTCCACATAAATACCCCCGAAACTACACCAACACTAAAACGTTCACTTACAAACAGAACTGAATGAATTAAAATAGATTTATACCTTTCTCTTTTAACACAATCGCCTCTCTGATCTTCGAGGAAACACGACTTCCCACAACAGCACACGGCGCGCACAATGATGACGTGGCACCTGCTCTCTTGACGACAACAAACATGGAGGAATATGCCCGTGAACCTTGGTGAGATTAGTTTTTATGAACATTTCCTTTTTCGCTGTGTATTCAAAAGTGTTGACCTCGGACACAGCTTTGTTTGTTTTTTATTGTCATGTTCGAGTTGTTGTGAGAGTGAACGGAGAGTGTGTGTGCGCGTTACAGGCTAGCTTAGTGGAGGCTCAGGGGTATGAAGAGATAAAGATGTGTTCAGGGACACTCAGCAAACAGGTCTGAGCTTCTGCAACCTCTCACATGAATGTGCCTTTTATGAGTGGCAGCTGAAGGTGTGGCTGGTAGGTAAATATTACTTGCATATGCACGGGGTCTTGAGCCAGAATACCTGGCTGTGAATGTTCAAACAAATTATACTAACTTATAATATAAGATAAGATAATGTCCAGAGTAGAAGCTGTTGCTGCAGCAAAAGGACAGAAATAAGCAGATAAAGTAAAAAAATCTAAATATATAAAAATCGTACAGTATTTAAATTATTTTGTGCATATTAGACTACACAGTGTAGGACTGCAATTAACAACTATTTTTATTGTTTTATGTGCCCATTCTTTCTTTAAAAAAATCTATAAAATGTCAGAAAATACTGAAGAATATTTCTGCTGATAAACGATCGAAGCAAGTGATCAATTGTTTAAATTGTTGTTCTATTAATCAGCTAACTGTTTCAGCATAAGTATGATGGTGCCACAAAAGGTTGTGATATGGCGGCTTCAGTTACATCTGGGTAAAGCTGCTCAAATACGTGACAAAATCATTGCAGTGGCACATTGTGAATTATGTTGGTACCAATTTTCTCTCCACTATTTTGAATGCCGAGTCTATGTGGTTACACAAATAGCTTTGTAGTGCTGAAAATGCACACATTACGTTTCAAAGCCTATGTTTATTTTATGACATTACGCACTTTATCCTGTCTTAACATTTTCTTCCTGCAGTCCCTGGAGAATAGTGGATGACTGTGGAGGGGCTTTCACCATGGGTGCAATTGGGGGAGGGGTGTTCCAGGCGATCAAGGGCTTTCGTAATGCCCCTGCAGTGAGTTCACCACATCATCATAATAATTATTATTATATGCTCCGACTCTAATCAGAGTTTTTAAAGGCAGCATTCAACAGTGCTCTGATGTTTCAGGGGGTCGGACACAGACTGAGAGGAAGCACTAATGCAGTGAGAATAAGAGCTCCTCAGATCGGAGGTGAGGACATCTTCTTTTCTAACCATGAATTGTTTACTGTAGCTCTTGGAGTCTTAATATGCATATGGCACATGCTAGAGTTAAGAGTTATCGCTCCCTGTGTATATAAATGATTTACCTGCATAAGGTATTATTTTTTGTAGCCAGAGCCTAGTTGTAACATTTACTTTGCCTAGAACTAAAATCAAACATTAAACCAGATGTGCAAGCACTCACTGGCTTGCTTTTTTTTTTGTGGTTTTCAGGTAGCTTTGCTGTATGGGGAGGGCTCTTCTCCACAATCGACTGTGGGTTAGTTCGCCTGAGAGGGAAAGAGGATCCTTGGAACTCTATAACAAGTGGAGCACTTACTGGGGCCATCCTGGCAGCACGCAGTAAGAGGAGGCCCATATGTCACAATGACCTGACCCCATCAAATTAAGTGTGATTCCGTAAATTCTGTGTTTTTCTCTAGGTGGGCCGTTAACTATGATGGGCTCTGCCATGATGGGGGGGATTCTGCTCGCTCTCATTGAGGGTTTTGGGATCCTCCTAACCAGATATACAGCACAGCAGTTTCAGAACCGTAAGGGAAGCTGATTGAGTTTTGCAAATTATATTTTAAGCGGCTGTTATCAATATTTTTATCTTAAGAAAAAGGCCTCTTTAAACCCTGCCACAGAAACCTGAGAATATATATATATTTTTAAATGTCCTTCTTGTTTTCTTCAGCTGTTCCATTTGCAGAAGACCCCGGTCAGTTGCCTCCAAGGGATGGAGGTCAGCAGCAGCATCAGGGGACAAAAGGGCAGTTTCAGTAGAGCAACCAGGACTGAGAGCAGCTGTGGACACCGTGAGTCAAACCAGAGAGTAGGGAGGACACCAGACATTACAGCAGGTATCAGGAGGACCAGGATGTGGAGATACTGGTCTCTACAGTGGTGTCAAGACTAGTTGCACGATGTACTTATACCTCAGGGGCAAAATACTGTGAGTTTATTTATTTTGTGTATTTGTTTATGAGTTGAATGTTTGTGACAAACGTCATGCTTGCAACTCCAGCATCTCATGCAACATGTTCTGTACTCTTCACTGTGATGGGTTGAATATGCAATTCTGAAATGTGTTTGTAAATCAATTTGATTATTTAACATTTAGGCAACAGATATATATTAATAGTTTGACATTCTGTGAATTAGGATTACTTGCTTTGGTGCAGAGAGTAAGATGAGAAGATCAACCACTCTCTGCTGGAGCCAGCAGTCACTTCACTTAGAATAAAGACTGTAAACAGGCTTTGTCCAAAGGTAACAACTAAATATTTGTTATTTTACACACGGTTATGTGCCGATTGTTTCTTGGCCACATTCAGTGACTTGCAGTCTTGAGTTGGCATCTATCTTTTCAATTCTTATAAGTGTATTTCCCGAAACAATAAACTATTCCTTCAGGCTTCCAAAGATATTACATGTGTATGCACAGATTTAGTTTTTTAATGGCTGCAAGGCAGAACGGTAGAGTAATAAGACGAATGAGACGTCAGTGAGGATTTATCTTGAAGAGAAGTATTCTGGAGCAGCGAGTCTGAAGTCTTAAATTAAGTGTCAGCTGTGACAATCAATGCAAAGAACAGCGTGTGTTTTTAAATGGTGTGTGTGCTTAAGATGTGGCTAGGCTCAACAAAAGCTAATGCCACTCTTTGTTTGCAGTTTCTCTTAACCCGGCAGCTTTTGTCACTTTGAGTCTTTGTTGAGTATTTATTATCTTAACTACTAGCATGATGAGCACAAAGTGGGAAAAATATGGATGAGTTCCCTAAAAATGATGGCTTGAAATGCACCCCATAGGCACTTTGATCACTGCATTACCCATCAAGCACTTTTTAAAGTCCATCTCTCTGTTTTCCTAAAATCGTAGCATCTTCCACAGGATTGAGATGGTGCAATGTGATTCTGTGTGTTTTACAGTCGAACTATGTATAGAAAGAATGTTTATTTGATGTATTGTCTTAATATATTCATCTTGCAAAAGCAGAAAAACATACAAACAATAAAGGCATCACATGTTCTTTAATACTGGTGTTATTCTTTCACGTGGCCATTGCTTTAGAAAGCCTAACATGATGCAGTAATGTGAGATATTAACCGGTGACATTAAAACATTACTTGCACCTGGGCTCAATATCAGTGTCTCTCTATTTCCTGTGAATGACCGCCCCCTGTCGCCTCTCAGTTGGTACTGCACCCACCGGCTGCTTCTGTCCAAGGTCCTGAAATACTCTTTTAACTTGCAATAGTGAGCCCAACCTAATATTCCGATATATACTTTTTTTTTAATATATTCCCCTGTGCGGTTTAACTACATCTTTGCAACAAAGCCCCGTGAAGCCACAGAGTATCTCCCGAGTCTATACCTCCACCTTCCCCTGGAAATCCTTTTAAACGGCTCAACTAGTTTAATCCTGCCGGCTGACCACCGCGGCTGTGGGGACGCGTTTGTTGTAATATTCCCTCACCGTTATGTGCCTGCGTGGATAAAAGTAATTGCGTGTTTTTTTTTTATTTACACGCGTAAGAAATAAGCAGAACTCGGCTTTAATCGGATTTCCAGGCTACAAGCAGGCGGTGAGCAGGATGGCCTGTAGCCTCTCAGCTGCAACCTCGTGCTGCGGGCGGATATGAAATGACAGGCGGCAGATGGTTCTTTTTTTTTTTTGTACCCCTAGAAGATTCTCTCTGTTGGGGCCCAAATTCATATCTGTGATCCAGTACGCATCGCAGATCCCCTGAGGAGTTGATGGTGGGCCTTCTGAAGTGATCTCGTGGTGTTAAAGTGCGGACATGGAGGCAAAGAAAGGTAGGTACTCCCCGCAATACCTCCGAGGGTTTGTTTGCACAGAGTTGTAAGAATGTGCGCTTTATACCTTCAAAGTTATGCAAAAAAAAACACACCTCGGTGGAAGATTAATATATTTTTTCTGAAATAATACGTCCACATATACAGTATAAGTGAAGAGTGAAACATAGACATGCATGTTTCCTACGATTTAAATCAAAGCATGCATACCTTTCACAATAATTAGACAACAGGCATCACATATTTCCACACTGAGCACGTTTGTTTTTAGTTGTTATCTGCTCATATTTGTGGCTCCTCTGTAGTTTTTTCAAGGGAGAGATAATAAATGTACCTGCAGGCTTATGCGTTGTGCAGGGCCTCGTCAGCAGGTGATCACGGGCCTGCTAGGGGATGGTGCTGGGCTAAGTGCCATGCTACTTCCGCTGAAGAAGTAGGTCACACCTGGTCATACAGTATGAGGCCTTCAGGACAGCATACCTGTCTGTTGCTACAGCCAACATGAAGCCCTTCATTAATTGTGTTGGATAATACACTGATATTACTGCATGGTGTGAGCAAGATCTCAGAGTTGTACACCAACAAAAACTGGACTTTGACGGACAATAAATTTATCCAACAATAGACTTACTTCTCTATTTGCAAAGTACTGTCTGTGTCTATTAACCAGATAAACATGAACTTGCTCAGAGTAAAACACCTCACAGCATAATCATTGATCATGTAATAACCATATTTTTACCCACTCTTACTTTCTTTTACTTCACATTCAGGATGCTGGGAAATACTAATTATTTTTGTTTGATCGTTTTTTGACAGATGCCCCCCCTGGGGGTGAGGGAGGAAAATCAGACACCCTGGGGTCCACTGGCTCGGCCAGAAAAAGAGGCGGGGGGGCCAAGAAGGCAATGCAGGCGAACAAGTCCGCCCTCAGGGCCCCCCGAGCCCTCTGCTGCCTCACCCTCAGCAACCCCATCCGCATGGCAGCACTGGCCCTCGTAGAGTGGAAATATCCTTCTCTGAGTTGTGTGTTTGTGTTCCTGCATATGATGCAAATGTACAATGTGTTCTTGAGATAATGTTGAATTGTTGGCGTGTTGAAGTTCTATTATGCTGCTGTGTGCATTTTCCTGTAAATACACATTCACCAGGCCTGTTGTGCCCTTAACTGCACTCCTCAAGCCTTTTGATATTTTCATTCTGCTTGCCATTTTTGCCAACTGCGTGGCCATGGGCGTCACCAAGCCGTACCCTGATGATGACTCCAACGCTACCAATCACCAACTGGTGAGTTCCCAGTGGAGAGATGTGGAGTAGCTCAACCCTACTGGTTTCTCTAACTCTTTTTAGAAAAGTTCATGGTACGCTGAGCTTGATATTAAGGAAGAGTAAATAAAGCAAAGAAAGTATATTTCTAGTCTTAACCCAATAGTGCATTCCATTCATTCCCTTAATTGTGTGATTGATGCACCCAAACATACCGTGCATACTATTCTACAGTGATGCATAGACAAATGGATCAAACATAAAGAGGACGTGTGTGTGTGAAGAGAGATCTTTGAGGGCCCGACACGGAGAACATCACATGAATCAAACAGATGCTGGAGCTCTTTGATCATACAGAGCGTTCTTCATCAGACCTCTTCGTGCTCCTTGGAAACTGAAAGTCTAAAAAGTTTAGGACAGTAACTTGATCCCTTTAAGGGGATTGAATGAAGCTGTCAAGGTGAACTATGCCTACGTGTGAAGTGTGTCTGAGCGTTTTTAACGCCGTTCTTATGTTCCTGTTTTCCGAGGCTTGACTCTCACTAAGAACATCTCGTGTGTTTCTCCTGAGATCATTTTTCTCTCTCACGTTCTCTGAGTTATTCGAGGACACCGATAGAGGTATGCACACTTCGTTGCAACAGTTTCATTTGGTATTTTGCTGCAGGTAGCAACATTTAGGGAGAACATAACAGTGTCCTGTTGGAGGGTAACGGTGTTAGAGGGGAAAAAAGTTGAGGTGTGACGTCAGGGATCATGTCTGACTTAAACACCAACCATCTGCTTAATCTCCCTCTTTGTCCCTCCCCTTTCTCATCATTCCTCCCCACAACCCTATAAATGACAAATTACACAGCAGTCAAACTGAAAATTATCCTATTGTTCTTTGGCACATTCGATATGTGAGCCGTTGTGAGCCACACACAGCTTTATATAATTGCAAAAAAAACAGTCACATTGTTGTTAATTCATTGTTGGTAGTAATCCTTACCTTGTCTGCGGAGGGTAAAAGTGATGTTTGAATTTAATTTGAGGTAATTTTAATAAAAGGGGGAGCAGGGACACACACACCTGCAGCAGGATAGATGTTAGTAGATCCCTTTATTGGATTGCACAAAGAAGGTAAGCTGACAGTTTAACATGCACCCCCCCCCCCAGTGACTTACAGTTTTATCACTTAAAATAATCACTTTTTGCAGTTTTGGTGAATGTGACTGGTTTTTGTGAATTCCACACGTCTTTCATGAAACCACATTCTGTGTGGATTATTGTGGCAGCCTGACGTTAAAGCCTAGTGAGAGTGGTAGCAGTGATTAGAGGCATTAAGCTGAAGGTTACAGAGAAGAGATCCAGAGACAGACGTAAGCGAGTGTTAGGCAGTAGGTTAAGAGGTTAGGAAGCCACCGTAGTCAGCCTTTAATGATAACACACACACGGTTTAAAGAAAGACGCATGAAAAAGTCAGTTAATGCCACTTACTGCTGTATCTGACGAAGAGAAATCCGTTTCTAAATGTCTTTATTTTACTGTGACAATCACTTGACATTTTCTTCAACACTTTTCCATATTTATTCCTTTCAAAACCCACTCGCTGACTTATGAAAAAAAAGTCATTCAAATTTTGCCAAACATCTCTACCTTGCCTTTTCTTCTCCTCTCAGGAACAAGTTGAGTACGTCTTCCTCGTCATCTTCACCATCGAGACCTTCACTAAAATTCTTGCCTACGGCTTAGTCATGCACCCCAGCGCCTACATACGCAGCGGATGGAACTTGCTTGATTTCGTTATCGTCATTGTCGGGTATTTTGGTGCTTCATCTAGTCACGATTTTGCATCTGCAAATGTCCCGTCACTTATAAGAAGTGAAGTTCTAACAGCTCGTATGTGTGCGTCTGTGCAGGTTGTTCAGCGTGATAGCAGAGGGCATGACGGATCATAAGCCGGGAGAGGCCCATCATGCTGCAGGAAAACCCGGAGGCCTGGATGTCAAAGCTCTCAGAGCATTCAGGGTGTTGCGACCCCTTCGGCTCGTATCTGGAGTGCCAAGTGTGTTTATAATTTACTGCAGTTTGTTTGAATTTTTTTTGCATGTTTGTTTCTGTGCTTCATCCCACATGTGCCGTTGAAAAAGGTGTGTGTGTCTGCCTTGCCAGGTTTACAGATTGTGTTGAACTCCATCATGAAAGCCATGGTCCCCCTTCTGCACATCGGTATGTTGGTCATGTTCGTCATCATCATCTACGCCATCATCGGCTTGGAGCTTTTTATCGGCAGGATGCACAAGACGTGCTACTCCAGCACCACAGGTCTGTGCTCGATGAGCTAAAACTGACTTTTATACGGTGTCCATGTTTCATGGATGTGTCGGCTCAATGCTGTTTTCTGCTCCAGGTCTGATGGTGGAAGACGATCCGTCACCCTGTGCATTTGCCGGGAGCGGGCGATCTTGCAACTCGAACGGGACTGAGTGCCGGGGCAAGTGGGAGGGCCCAAATGGCGGCATCACAAACTTTGACAACGTTTTCTTCGCCATGCTGACAGTTTTCCAGTGCATCACTATGGAGGGTTGGACAGATGTTCTCTACTGGGTACTCACACGCTCTTGGATCCTCCACACTTTTACTTTTGTTTGTTGTAATTGAAAATGCTCACCTGCACGTTGTGTCTCTGCCCCTCTGCACAGATGAATGACGCCATTGGCTTTGAGATTCCGTGGGTTTACTTTGTTTCTCTGGTCATCTTTGGATCCTTTTTCATCATCAATCTCGTATTGGGTGTGTTGAGCGGGTATGTTGCTGCAGCATGGAGCTTTCTGTGCATTTATTGTGTTTTTTGAGAAACAAAATGAATCCCTTATATTTGTCTTCAAGACTTTTTTCTGAGTTTTTGAGTTTTGTGTCTGTGCACAGAGAGTTCTCCAAGGAAAGAGAAAAGGCCGTAGCGCGCGGTGAGCTGCAGATGGCGCAGGAGAGCAAGCAGATGGAGGAGGACATGATAGGCTACATGGACTGGCTCATAGAGGCCGAGGATGTGGATGAAGAAGGAAACAAACGTTAGTTTGAAGCACATCCATGACGAAAAAAGCAAAACATCTACACGTATCTTTATATCTATACATAAACTGCCTCTATTTGACTTCAAAGGTGCTGCGATCGCAAAGAAAAAGATGATGAAGAAATTTGGCTGGTACAAACACAGCGAGGATGGTGGAGGTACGTCAGCCATCGCCGTTGGTTATCACGTTTATTTAAACGTGATTGTCTCTAACAGCCGATACTCATCTCTGTGTTTAGCGGAGTCAGACTCAGACGACGACATAGCATACCTCGATGATGACAGTGGCTTCTGTGCGTCTCTCATGTAAGACAACAGAGGAATAACATTGTTTTGATTCACCACTGCTATTTAGGTGTTAATCACGTCAATTCATGATTGTCTTCTTTTCTCAGGGCAAAGATGATGGCGAATAGCTTCTGGTAAGATGAGAAAATTCCAAAGCACTCCTCATGCATTTTATTAGTTGTTACACCCTCGTCAATGTGCACACCTCATTCAAAATACTATTTCCCCCCTTTTTTTAGTGACCAATTGTGCCAGCTGAATCATACATTCAGGAAGAACTGCCGTGTGGCCGTCAAGACCGCCAACTTCTACTGGTTGGTGCTTCTGCTGGTGTTTCTCAACACAGTGGCCAGTGCCTCCGAGCATTACGGACAGCCAAATTGGCTCACAGAAATGCAAGGTAAGAATCCGTTCCTCCATTTATTTAAAACCTTTGCTGAGCTGTGCTTCAACGCTACTAAAACGCCTTCTTCTTCTCCGTCTGTCCCTCAGAGCGAGCCAACAAGATCCTGCTGCTGCTGTTCACTCTGGAGATGCTGTTGAAGATGTACGCCTTTGGCCTGCAGATCTATTTCATGGCGCTGTTCAACCGCTTTGATTGCTTCGTGGTGTGCGGCGGCATCCTCGAGACGCTGCTCGTGGAGTTTCAATTCATACCGCCCATCGGCATCTCTGTGCTGCGCTGCATCCGACTGCTCAGGATATTCAAGATGACTCGGTAACTGGTGCCAGAGTTCAGTAGCAAAAACATCTGGAGCTTTTCAGTCACCTGCACGAGGAACAAACCAGGAAAACAAATCTGTCAGCATTTGTTTTCATTTCCCGATGTGTATCTATGCTCTCTTCTGTTGCTTCCAGGCACTGGGCTGCTTTGTCCGACCTAGTCAACTCGCTGCTCAACTCCATGAAAGCTATCCTCTCCCTCCTGCTCCTGCTCTTCCTCTTCCTCATCATCTTCGCCTTGCTGGGCATGCAGTTATTTGGAGGCAAATTCAACTTTGACGAGACTCAGATGAAGAGAAGTACTTTCGACTCCTTCCCTCAGGCTCTGCTCACTTGTTTTCAGGTGACTGACAACAAGCAGTTTGTTTGTATAGCACATTTCATTACATGTAAACTCAAAGTACTTTACATTTAAAGACAAAATATAGAAATACGGGTACAAACATAAGAATATAGGTAGTTTATACAACATAAATATAAGAATACACAACTACCCAGCAATAAAAGCCCCAAAACATCAACATCTTTAAATAGAAACCCCCGTACACACCAGTAATTAACTATTCAATTATTGTTATGTAAGGTGTCAATTACAGGCCTCTCACTCTGTGTGGCTACTTTTTCTTTCTGCAGATCCTCACAGGAGAGGACTGGAACGCTGTAATGTACGACGGCATTATGGCCTATGGAGGGCCGATCTTCCCCAACATGGTGGTGTGCATTTACTTCGTCATCCTCTTTGTCTGTGGTAACTGTATCCTTGCTCAGTGTCTGTGCACTCTCTGTCTGATTTCTGAAGTCTGAGCATTAAATGATTGGTCTTCAATTCCAAGAAAGTGGACTCCTTAACTGTGTGATCAGACATCCTGCTCAATGTCTTCTTGGCTATCGCTGTGGACAACTTGGCAGGAGGCAGTGGAAAGACCAAAGTCGAGTACGTTTGACATGAGAAAAGATGATCTTGATAAGTGGTATCGGACTCATTTATAACTGACTCGTCCTTCTGTTTCCTGCTGCACTTCCACTGACGTCTACATTAAACATGTACAAAAAAATACAAAGGTTCAAACGATTCCCCCTTCGCTCAATTGCAGTTTGTTTGTTTTTTTAGGGAGAAAAAGGAAGATGAAGAAGAATGGGATGAGGATGATGAGAAAGAGGATGAAGATGCAGGGGTAGAGCATCTTTTTTTAAATCTTTTCCCTGCACCATATTGGATAAAAACTGATTGTGAAATGTCAAACAACTGATCTTTTGTTCTCATGTGTAGAACGACGAGGACGACTGGCAGGAAAATGAGGAGCTGAGGGCCATCGAGGGACTGGAGGGTGAGTTTGACAGCAGACTTGACGATTAAGAACTTTAACTGTCTCTAATACATTTCTCTGTATGTCACTGTAGGAGTTGCTCCATTAAAGCCTGAGTTCTCAGGGCCCAAAGAGAAGATCATCCCAATCCCTGATGGGAGCTCCTTCTTCCTTCTTGGAAAGAAAAACTGGTAATTTGAGATCATTTGTGCGCCAAATTAACCTGATGCTGCTATACTGCTATAATATAACTCTTTAACTCTTCACTGATTTAACAATTAAGTTGTGTGACATGCTTGTAACACCAGGACATTGCTAAAAAAAAGAATCCGCTTTTCTTTGTAATTTCCCTCCCGTTGTCAGTTTGCGAGTCGCCTGTCACAACCTCATCCATCACCCCTACTTCACCAACTTCATCCTCATCTTCATCATCCTCAGCAGCATTTCCCTGGCTGCCGAGGATCCGATCAAATCCCACTCATTCAGGAACATAGTAAGACTGACCACACCAGGCAGACCATGTCTGTCTGATCATTGTTCACAATAAAGACGATTGATTACTAATTGTAGCTTCTCTCATCCTCAGGTGCTCGGCTATGCAGATTATGTTTTCACTTCGGTTTTCACAGTGGAGATCGTACTAAAGGTAACGGCTGCAGTGGTTTAAATTGATTAGAGCGTGAATGGTCATTTCTACAACATATCACTTTCTTTCTTCCTTCCCTCGCTCGTGTCTAGATGACAGTCTACGGCGCTGTTCTGCACACCGGCTCCTTCTGTAGAAACGCCTTCAACCTCCTCGACCTGGTGGTTGTCGGCGTGTCGCTCGCGTCTTTCTTCTTACAGTGAGTAGATATCCGTCTAACTCAAACTGCACACAGTTGAATTCTGTGTAGCTGTAAAACGCAGAAGCAGTGATGGCTCTTTAAAGTGTTGTGATCTGAGGGTAACTCTCAGAAATGATTTCACTTTGCCAGTGTAGTTTTATACTTTATACTCTGTATTTCCCAGTCCAATCTGCCTTCTTTTTTTGCCCTATGTTCCTGTTTTATTGACTATTTCTGCATTGTTGCTCTCAGTTCAAGTGCGATCTCTGTGGTCAAGATTCTCAGAGTGCTGCGAGTGCTCAGGCCTCTTCGTGCCATTAACAGAGCCAAGGGACTGAAGGTGAACAGCGCTTTCCTTTTTTGTTATTTTCTAATTACACAACAAGTCAGCGTCAGTGTTTACTGCAGGGTTACTGAATTACGCTGTGGTGTGTATTCAGTTTAAAGTAAGTGGTGTGTGCTAACACGTGTCCTTTGCCGTCCACAGAACGTGGTGCAGTGTGTGTTCGTGGCGATCCGCACCATCGGCAACATCTTAATTGTCACAACACTGCTCCAGTTCATGTTTGCCTGTATTGGAGTGCAGCTCTTCAAGGTACACGTTCACTCACCACACTCTCTGGACACTTTATTAGGTGCACCTGTACAGTCTTATGCGATCCAATACAATTTGCGATGTCTGTGTTCAGTTTTTCTCCACGCTGTCACAGAGGTGCTGAATAAATCATATGTCTTAGCATTGAAGTTAGTGGTGGTGTTATACCGGACTGTATTGTATTTAGAGGCGTTTGTCATATATTAAACAGAATAAAAGGGAGAAGCAGACTGGAGGCTCTGTAGTCGTTGGTCCTGTGAGAATCTCTCAGACTAAATCACCATATTTTAATGTGAAGATCTTCATATCTGACATTTCCCTCTCTTACCTTTCTGTCAGGCAGGTTCACCTCGCTTGTACGGATCACTGTAAATACTGTTTTATCTCCTCCCACACTGGCATACACTCTTCTCCGGTCTGGTTGTGTGAATTTAAACTAAAGATCTTTATTCTCTGTGTGGCACAAATCTGATCCGTCAGTGTTTAATCAGGATTTCAATCAATCTTCATATAGAAATCTTTAATCTTTCTAATATTCTGCCCCCTTGTGTTTGTAAACGCATAGAACATAAAGTAAGAAACACCTGTAACTATGACCTCATTAATAACAATGTAACCAAAAACTGAGCATTACGAGCTTCGTGAAGAGCCGTTGATCGGACTGCACTAGATTGTACAGATGCACTTAATGAGTATTTTTCTCTAACTCACTGATTTAAAAAGGAAGTGGCCAGTGAGTGTTTTAAAGGGTTTTAACTGTCCTGTGTTTTAATGTTACAGGGCAGATTCTACAGCTGCACAGATGAAGCCAAACACACTCCTGTGGAGTGCAGGTCAATAATCTTTTCTTCTTCTCTACCCCAGAGGTTTTCAAAGTCTGAGACTTGATCACACTCAACAGTTGAGCCAAGATAGCCTAATATTGCTGTCTGTCCTGTTAGTTTCTGACTAATACACTTCTGTATCTCTGAACTATCTCTTTAACCAAATCACACACATTTCATTTAGGCTACTCTATGGGATCTTTTAATAACTAATATAATATTTTCACTTCCATTCACTGAGCCTCCCCTGGGGGATGCCCGCCTCACACTTTGAAAACCTCTGGTCTACACAACATGAAGCACCCCAGGCAGACAGTCTCTTAACGTGCCGACGCTGTCCTTAAATATGTGCATTTGTTTCATTTTAGGGGAACGTTTGTGGTCTTTCAAGACGGGGATATGAACCACCCCATGGTGAAAGAGAGGATTTGGGAAAACAGTGATTTCAACTTTGACAATGTGCTGATGGGCATGCTGGCTTTATTCACTGTGTCCACATTTGAAGGCTGGCCACAGTGAGTAGTAACTTTACATATTTCTGTAATGCAAAGGATTAGTATTTGTTTTATTGTTTTATTGTCAACAAATTCCATGAAAAGAAAAAAACAAAAGTGTGTTGGTCCATCTTCATACTTTCTGACTGGTCCCAAATATGTAGTTTAATTTGTTTAAATGTCTCAGTGATTCCATAGAAGAGCTCTGTAGGTTTTTAAAAAAACATCACTAAACAGGAATGAATAGTGTATTTGTTGGGGGACTATTTTCTGCTGCGGATTAATACACGCTTGGTGCGCTAGTGATCGTGTATCGGAGGTTGATTTAAAACAAACTACAGTGCCCGTGTTCATCACAGTGAAGGAACATGTCACCCAGTGCAACAGTGCAGTTTATGGGAATATGGGAATATTGAATACAAAATGTGGTTTATTGCATTTAAATTAAAAAATTGTATTCAATTTATTACATATAATTATTTTAAGAATAGTTCATGAACGATATTTTTTAGATTAAGATTTTAAAATAGGATACATCAGGTTTTAGCTACATAGGCAAAACTTGTTTTGATTAATTGTTTGTTTTGTCTTTTAATGGGATTTTTGACAACAATAATTGGATGAGCATCATCTTCCTAACCCTTGAAGCGTTTCCTGTCCTCACTGTGTTTTGTTTAAAGGCTCCTTTATCGTTCTGTGGACGCCAACGCCATCAACCGCGGGCCCATTTACAACTACCGAGTAGAAATCTCCATCTTTTTCATCATCTACATCATCATCATCGCCTTCTTCATGATGAACATATTCGTGGGTTTTGTCATCATCACATTTCGAGAGCAAGGAGAGGCTGAATTCAAAAACTGTGAACTCAACAAAAATCAAGTAAAAGCTTCAGAAACAGTTTCAATTCAATGAGTCTTTACATGCGATACATTTGTTTAGATTTACAAAGTGAATAATGTTTGTGCTCTCTTCTTGTTCCTCCTGTCCAGCGCCAGTGTGTGTACTACGCTCTGAAAGCTCAACCTATAAAGATTTACATCCCGAAAAACCCGTCACAGCTCAAATTCTGGAAAATTATCAACTCCAGCCAGTTTGAATACGTCATGTTTGTGCTGATTCTGGGAAACACCCTCACTCTGGCTATTCAGGTATCATCCGAGTCTTTCATGAAATACAGAGACGTCAACTTGTTTCAGTGCTGCGATGTGAAGTTCTGTGTTGTTGCTTCTTTTGCAGCATTACGAGCAGTCTAAGCTGTTCACCTCCGTCATGGACATCCTCAACATGATCTTCACTGTGGTTTTCACGATCGAGATGATTATCAAGTTACTGGCTCTGCGGGCTCATGTGAGGTTTCACTCTTTCTCCTCTGAGAGCAACATTCAACTGTCAACACTGTCTGTGTTCCACTTTCACGCTCTTTGTTAATTCTTCCCTTTGCAGCACTATTTCATCGATCCATGGAATTCTTTTGACGCTTTGATCGTCGTGGGGAGCGTGTTGGATATCGCCGTCTCTGAGTTGAGCGTGAGTTTGTCCAATTTGCTGACAAAAGAAAAAGAAAGAAAACACATTTGTACAGCTCATGTAGGTCAAAATGTTTGTTCTATTTAATCTGAGAATTAAAAAAGTCAGACAAATATTAGAAAACTATGGTATACAACTTCTATTAAATGCTGGATAAGAGCTGATAGCTGCACTCTTGTTTGTCTCTGTAAAAGTAACGAGTCTGACGAAAAATAAACCTTACAAAATACTTAATTCAATTTTCAAAGATCCATTTGATACCTTCTTGTCTCAGTAAAAAAAAAAAAAAAAAAACCTACATGTGCTACAACATTAACTTTAGCAACAACTATTATTCAAGACACATAATCATATTTAACTTAATGGTAAAAAGCCCTCTGTGTACCATATCAAGTTAATCTGGTACTGGCAATAGAACCAGAGGAGAATCTAGTTACCAGAATGAAATTCCAGTATTTTTAATTTTACTTTTTCTATTTTCCCAAACCCACAAAAAATAAAACGTCTGTCCATCTGTATACACTAACCCTTCACCAGAATTGTATACCTGGTATTGTGGAAACAACAATATTACAAGAACAGAATTCATTCACTCTGGAAAATCCAAATAATCATTCATTAAAATTGAAATTTACTCGTGCCGGTCCTGATTTTATTCTCTGTCCTCTCACATGGCATCTCTACCTGTTACCTGTTTCAGGGAGGAGGCGGCCATGGTGAGGTAAGAGCTGAGCACAACCACTGCAACTCTAAATGTGTCTTTCATTGTGGATTTATACTTAAAGATACTATATGCTTGAGCACTGTAACATATATATATATATAAATATATATATATATATATACTGTATATATATATATATATATATATATATAT